CTACTTAAGTAGACATCCAGCTGTTATAGAGAGAGAACAAATAACGAGTACATCAGCAGAAGAATATGTGAACTATGGAACTAACTGTTCAGTTCCAAAGTCAATGACACTTGACGAGATTAAAAAAGCAACCCATAACGATCCAGTATTACAAAAAGTTAAGAAATGTCTGAAAGAGGGAAAATGGGATAAGAACAATCCTGATCTTAAACCGTTTAGACTTTGCGCCGACGAACTTACGTACAATGCATCAGCAGGTATACTGTTGAAGAACACACGGCTGGTCATTCCAACAACATTACAAGAAAGAGCAACAAAATTAGGTCATATCGGGCATCAGGGAATTGAGAAAACGAAAAGCCTACTACGCAAAAAGATCTGGTACCCAAATATGGACAAACGAGTGAAAGAAATGGTAGACAAATGCATTCCTTGCCAAGCAGTAGGTCACGGTAATAACCCGGAGCCAATGAAAATAACACCAACCGAAGACAAACCATGGACTAGTGTAGCAATCGACTTCTATGGTCCAGTACCCCGAACTGGTCAATACCTGCTAGTGGTTATCGATACCTACTCCCAGAGGTAGAAATAGTCAACTCAACCGAAGCAAAAACTTGCATACCAAAATTAGATACGATATTTGCCAGATATGGAATACCATCAAAAATAAAAACTGACAATGGACCCCCATTTAATGGGAAAGAATTTGAAACATACACTAAAACCCTTGGTATTGAATGGAAAACAATTACACCACTATGGCCTCAGGGTAATGCCGTCGTAGAAAGATTTATGAAACCAATCGGAAAACTGTTGAGAACAGCTGATATTGAAGGAAAGAATTGGAAGCAAGAACTGCAAAGGTTTCTACTTCAATACCGTTCAACTCCTCATCAAACTACTAAAGTCGCTCCGTGTGAACTACTTTTTAACAGACAAATTCGGGGATACTTACCAGAACTCACAAGAAAAAAAGTAGTTAATAGACACAAGAGGGCGAAGCAGAACTTGGAGCAGAAGAAAGAAGAGAACAAAGAGTACTACGACCGAAACAAAAGAACAAAGGAAGCTGGGATCAAAAAGGGTGACATCGTCATTTGCAAACAGAAGAAGAACAATAAGTTAACATCAAAGTTTGACCCAGAACATTATACGGTAGTACAACGTAAGTACAACACCATCATAGCTAAAAGAGATGGTAAGACGGTGACAAGAAACGTTTCACACTTTAAGAAGGTAGTAATGGAGGAAAGCGAGGAGGAGCAGGAAGATACAGCACCGGGAAGATCGACGGAAACAGAAGAATCACCAAAGCAAGAACCAAGTGTAAGGAGATCAACAAGAATGAAAAGACCGGTAATACGATATCAGTACCAGATTTGATGTTATAAACAGTAAAACGATATAAACGTTTAAACTAGAGAAACATCAGACAACATTGATTTACATAATTTAATAACAACATTGATTTACATAAGTATGAACACAAGGCAAGGACATTTTATTAAGTGGTTGACATTCAGTTAAAAAAAATAGAGGGAGAGTAATGTAGTATTTGTAGGATGCGATAAGTTAATAATTAACTTCGAAGCATGTAACAACGTTGATTGACATTTGTAATAAATCATCATTCAATCTATTCTATAGTGGTGTTTCCACAAACAAAAACAATTAAAACAATATATATAGGCAGCCCAAAAATGCATATGGCATTAGTCTATTTTATGTATTCTCATAGCTAATTGAAAAAGTTTTGAAAGCTTGCACATGAAAATCTTTCACAAATTACAAGCAAAAACAATAAAAGAAGTGCTGATTGGCTGTTGGGCATGACATTTCGTAACAGAATCAATGATGCCAAAATTTATGCTAAGGCCTAAAAATACCTGTGATTCCGGTTTCATATCGTGAAAAAATTCGGGTAGGTATGTCGGAAATAAATTTTTTTTGAAAAAAAATTGTTTTCATGGTTTTGGCGGGACGATTTATACAAATTTAATATGATACAAAAGCTAATATTTATGTATCAATCCGCTAAAGAATGAAATTGCAGGCTTTTCTTGCGCTGTGTACCCACAGCATTTGTGCCAGCGGAGACACAGAAGGCACTGCACAGAAATGCACAGACAGTTCTGGTTTAATGACTAGTAAATATTAGACTAGAAAAGCCTTCATATTACTTTTAATTTGTTGTTTTACTTGTTTTTAATAAGGTTATATATAAGCTTACTATGCTTCGATATTTATTAAAATTGAAAAATGTGGTCATTGTTTTATTGCATTTATCGCGATATTATCGAATATCGTGATAATTTCCTCGACAATAATCGGGAGATGATTTTTTTAATATCACCCAACCCTAGTTGCACGGTCAATCGCATTGTAAAAAAATAATAGGCCGGGCAGAAAAAAATAGTAGGGTCGGTTGGGAAACCGGAACCACGGGTATTTTTTTAGGCCTAAGCAGTATCCAGAAGTGGGATACTGCCATGCTGGATTCTCACTAGAACTTTGAATCCTGGTATCCCAGTGGGATACTGCTAAATATTTAAATTTTAGACCTTGGTGATTGGCTGTTCAGATTAAGAATTGTCACATGCTCATTGAAAAGACGTCTAAGGCTTAATAGACAATGTTTGCATGCATCTGAGACTGTTTATCCTTACGTGCAAACAACATAAAAATATCAATGTTCAGAACTGACATTAACCCATTGAGTGGCAGCACTCTCTGACTCTCCCTCTGATGAGTAAAATCGTCTGGTGTTAGACAGAGTAAAATAATAATTAAAGTAGGGTGCATCTGGGTGCATTGTAGGCTCAATTACCAGCTTCCCACTTAAAGGTTTTAACATAGATTCACAGTTGAAGATATATATATATATATATATATATATATATATATATATATATATATATATATATATATATATATATATATATATATATATATATATATATATATATATATATATATATATATATATATATATATATGTACTATTTATAAACCAATCTATATGGTAAGGTATAAATGACTTCTAAAATTCACCTTTTGTTTTGGGTCCCAATGAAATAATAAGAAATGCTAACTACAATAGTTCTATTGTTTTACGATTCTTCCCTTCATTGATCAGCAAGCAAATTAATGACTGGATTAATTATCAAGTCATACAAGTCGTTAAACGGAGTTTTCAAATGGAAATTTGAACATAATTATTTGAGTCGGTTTCGAAGCGCTCGAACTGCTGAAGACGAGCAAACATTGCTCGAAAGATCGATGCCGCCAAGTACAAGATACGCGAGAAAGTGGGCTTTGACGATTTCTGATTCCTGGAGAGCTGCTATAGAAAGGTTAAAGAAGTGAAGATCGACGATGGTGGTCATGAAACTGATGATATTGGCCCAAACCAGACATTAACTACATCGCTGACGGAGATGAATGAAGCGTCTTTAGCATTTTAGTTAAGCAAGTTTGTTGGGTTTAAAGAGTGGTGTGTAATAAAAAACGAAAGGGTTGTTAATCCCGTGTTTAACAATTGTAACATTACCTTTAACTTTGGAAAATAAAGCATTTATTGATTTCTCGAATATTTGAGTTTTTATTAGGAACAGATTAATAAAATTTTTGTTAAAGAATGCTTTATAAAGGTACATGTACCTTTATCATAAACGTACATGTGGTCTATATATGAATTTTAAATCAGCACACACCGATCTATATCACGGTATATAGGGGTCATCATGTGACGAGATTTTAAGAAATTCATTGGCTAATTGGCTCATGAATTATTCATGAATTTTAGAAATATATATATATATATATATATATATATATATATGAAAATGTTCTAGAGTGTGTATTATATAATTTCCATACCCAGCGCAAGCAGAAAGATGTTGTCTGCCGCGGCTGGGTCTCGAAC